GTGATTCAAATAAGCCTTTATAAAACAGCCCATAGGTTAGTTGTCGCAAAGTTTATTTTTCTGTGCATATCAATTTTTTTAATTTCTTAGATTTAAGTATATTTCTTTTTTTTATGAACAAAACATCATGATGTAATGAAATAGTAGGTTAGGGTTAGGGTTAGGGTCAGGGTCAGGGTTAGGGTTAGGGTTAGGGTTAGGGTTAGGGTTAGGGTTAGGTTTAGGGTTAGGGTTAGGGTTTGATATTATCGGTTACTTTGCCATCAGAAACGCAAATTATAATAAATTATTGCAATATGGATGTCGAGGATTAGATATTTTACAGCTTCAGTTTTTAATAGAATTCGAAAATAAGTAAATATTGAAAGAAATGGAAGCTAGAGGTTGCAAGAATGATGTTAAAGGCTCTTGCGCAACCGGCATGCTTAGCGACAGCTGTCTTGAGAAATTTACTTTGTTTTGTACTTTCATACAGTACGATATGAAATTATAATCACAAAGCATGCCAGTTGCAAAAGAGCCTCTAAAGAAAAAAAGTAAAGCTAACTGCGTTCTAAGTCTTATATACATAGCATTATGTATCAATATCAAAGTAAAGCAGATTCTCTTCTGTGAAAAACGCCACAAGACCTAAGATTACTCAACTGAGCTGACAAATCTATCACCAATGGCTTACGTTGCTTTCTTTAATCAGGATCTTGAAACATTATTATTTCTTCATTCTTGACGAAGCTACTTCGGGACTTGGCCATTTTGCAATATGTTCATAGGACGACAAATACGCCGGCGACAGAGAAAATACTTCAAATAAATGAACTTTCAAGGCGAACGTCGCGCACAGCACCGGAACGAAAAATTCTAATACGCATGCTTATAACCTTTCGCCGGCGAAAAGCGAAAAAATTTCACCGAATAGAGATTGGCCTTTACTTGGTGTATTCACGCTATATTTGCTTACATACTTAGAAATATTACCCTCATCAAAAGTACAGGATACCTATGCAGAAAACTTTGTAGCCTATCTGCGCAAATGGATCTTTATAGGTGATAAGTAACGTTTATCTAAACAAGTTATTTAACTACATTGAAAGAAAGAAGTTATTGCTGCGATATGCATGTTTTACCCAGAAAAGCTCCCCTTGTTTTATCTTTTTTGACTTTGGTTTAATTCAATATAAAATTTTCATGCAAATAATAATTTTAAGTTCACACAAATAATAACTATTTGTAGGTTCACTAGAATTGCCATTTTTCAAGATATTTTGAGATAATTTTCTTATTTTACTTGTTTGCAGAAAATTGTTAAACTTAACTAGTTAGTCATTTATCTATAGAGTGTCCTTTCCCTATCACCTGGATTAAACTTATAATTTTTTCCCTTTCTTTGAATTTGGAATGCGTGTTCATTTATCTATCTCGATTGTATAGGAATTTCGATAGACATAACACTGTATTTCACATTTTCAAATTAATTGTGATGTTAATGATTCGACAAAAAGCATTGTTTTGGAATATAGAAGCCATTCTCTTTGAATTCAATTTTATTTTACATCAACCCAGTGCTGGGTCACATGGCAAACACAAAGGAAATTGATTAGTCGTGTTTCGATCATTTCTCCCCTGCGGAGTGTCAGACAATAGAGTATTAAATGCTGGACAATAGATTCTCTATTATGTTTGTAAATCGAAAACCAATCACGCGAAATCGTACTTGTTCTGGGTCATTTGACGCTTGATAATGCAAGTTAGTTGCGAAGGGTGGTGTAATACATTTTAGTAAGCTTAAAGGTGGAGGAAGTTACTAAGCAATTAAAGATCTAGAAAGGATGTAGTGATCATGTAGTGATCATGAAATAATACGAAATAAGAGGATTATTGGTCTGAATTGAGAAGTAATTAGAGCTCTCTCTGCTGAAATACTAACATTAATATTCTAACTTATAAAATTCAAAACTGTAAACAACTTTCTCCACAGTAATCCTTTTATGTGCTTAGTCATCTGATTGTCTTAAATTTCTGTTTGATCTAACAATACACCCCCTAAGCTCCTATATCGTATGCGACGCCGTTGGCTACTCGCTGCATGCTAATAGAACTGATAAGAGAACAGTTTAAATGGTGGATAAGGCCAGGAGCTTAGTACTTAGTGAGATTTTCACTAATCTAAAAGAGCCTCAGAATGCTTGAAATGAAAAGGAAGAAATTCCGAGAATTAACGAAAATTTGAAATTGCAAGCGGCCATAATAGAAAAATTTCTCACAAGGATAATATTCACTTGAATGATTTTATATTGTGTTTTCATCTAATATATTAGCATGTTTTACAGAAACGATTTAATATATTAGCACCAAAAGATAATACTGGCTGCTGTGGTTCTGGGGAAGAAGATTTTTTCGTTAAAGCTACAGCCATCAGTAAAGTTTTACGAAGATCTCTCAAGCAATTATATTGCTTCTCTTCTTCAGTTAGGCTATTTCTGGCTATGATCGTAAGAAAGACATAAAAAGATAGTCAGGCAAAGTAAGGCCATAATATAAGTTGTGATATCATTTCAACATGCACGATTAAATTTATCTCCTAGTTAATCAAATGTAATAGTCAACAACATAATGCTCACCTTAACCAGAAGATATTAGCCTTACTATTGACATATTATCATAAAAAGAAAACCAGCTGTTATAATGCTCAACAAAATATAAAAGGGTACACACTGTTTTTGTAAGATATTCGAAGATTATTTGTGTGAAACAAAATTATTACAAAGTCAGGGGATTTCATTCTCAATCGTAATAATATTGGTAGAGTGCCGATTATTGGAGCTATAGGACTTCACCCCTTCCTTTTCTTCTGCAGAGTTCGTAAATTTATATTGTGGAGCTTTACAGTGTAAGAATCGTTTTTGAAAGCTAGTGTTAATAATGCTCATATTTTTAATATAAGACAGCAATTTTATATCTTTCGGTAAATTTTCTTATCTTTTGATTCCAAAAGACCGTTACTGTTTATGTGTTTAAGTCTTGATTTCATGGCAAAGTATATTACTGTTGTAGCGAGACTCCATTACTGTGCATTTTAAGTCATTCTTAAAGAGGCCAACTGCGAGCCTTAATGATTATGCAGAAGCTGCTTTCAATAACAAATATGTCATACATGCTGCTAGCACGTGTGGATACGTCAGTCATCTTTTAAAAGAATAGCTTTCAGGACTTATAGATAGCTATGACACCGTCATTACTTTCATGCTCTTAATAAAAAGGAATAAACCAAGCTAACCAAACCACAAATGACTAGTACATTGTATGCAGTGACTTATTGTTCTCGTCCTGTTCCATTAACACAACAGCGGTCATATTATTTGCACAACAGTACAATTTAACATTCAATAACCCATACCAAATGTTTCAAAAATATTTCTTACCAGTTTTCTACCAACTTTTTAAACGTAGCCCAGTTCCCCAAGATTTCAGTCTCATTGACTGATATCGTCGACTTTAACTTGGTACCTGTCAATCATATTTGTAGTCTTTTAACAACTGTTTCGCAGAATCTATAATCATTTGTGCCCGAATAAAAATCTATCAAATATTCATTATTTTACTCATCATACCTTCAAGCAAAAAAGCGTATCATTTTTCGGAAAATACCATTGCCTTTGCTTATTTATTATAACCTTTATATATGATTTGCTTCTTTTTGCTACAAATCCCACCCAGTCTCTTTTTAATGTAACCTTTAAAGCTAGCATCAATTAGATGTAATTAATTCAAGCAAACAGGGCTTTGAATACAGAGATTTCAAGAATTTTCTGATCTAATTCAGTTTATTTACAGTTGATAGGAACCTTATCTCCATGAAAATAAAGCTAAATGAAATTTAACTATAATGGACTCTGTTTTTCGGAAATGCCAGAACTTTGATTACTGATAAAGAAATTAATTTTTGAAAATCTAGTTACAATCTGCCTGGCATATTCTCCTAGATCTCAACCCTTTGGATTTGTAACTTCTCAAAGTAACAATAAACAAGAATTTTGTGTAATGAAAGCCTGGCCTGAGGTTTTTCTTTTCTTATGCTGTAGCCTGGAGCTAGCCTATCAGCATAGGTAAATGAGTTGAGATATCAACCAATTGCAGCATTGTCTTTACAATCTAAACACGTGAATGTAAAACTTCAACCTTTATCATTTTGATGAGTCTTTGAATTATTCAAAAGAGAGTGACTGATAATGGTCAGGGCGAAAGATTGTCGGATTTTCACCTATGACGCCATTCGCAGAAATTTGTCAGGGTCAAGCACTGTTTGAAAGATTATGATTGGCGTCAGTGAATGATTGTCTACTAACACCAGTTGCTACACGCCCTTGTACATGTCACATGGGTTCAAAAAAGAACTGATTGGTCGTTAGTTTCTAGTGAATGATAATGCTTAATGAATAATGAATGGTAACTCAGATACATAGGCTGTCGGTGAAAGATGCTCCTGACGCCATCTGCAAACATCAGTTTTCATCTGTGGTTAACTCTGTAGCATGTGAGAGCATCTGTTGTTTTTAGATAAAACTTTTTGGTGGTTTTTGATGTAAGAATAGCCAGTTGCATAGATGTTTCAATAGTTTTGATTGTCGTCTTTAAATTGTTTATTGTTTTTTAATGATTTGACTTCGAATTGACAATTAGAAGCAACTGAAATTTTACGGCCAGAACAATCGGTCACTCAGCTGCCATATCTGTCTAACAACATTCAAAGACTTGGCTGATGTGAAAGTATGAAGAAAGGATTGACATATAAAATAATTTTCGTATGGATAGTAAATAGATCCGAGCCGAAATAGATTCTTCTAGCCACAAAAATAATAAGATTCTTTGCAACTATACTGTCGATTTTTATGTCCAAATATCTTGCTCTATTACCAAATAAAAACTGCAAAGAGCACATTTGAAGCTTCTGTATGCCTAGTCTATGTATTGATTTTTTTATGCAAACAATTTAAATTTTTTAGGTGTGGTTTCAAAACAGGAGAGCCAAATGGAGAAAAACAGAACGTGGAAATCGAAAACAAGGTGAAAAAGAAGAGGATTCCCCTTCTGAGACGGAAGACACTAAGCCAGTGACAACCCAAGCAGTGAAGAAAAGCCCGCCAACGACGTATGAAGATTCCTATGCTAAATACTCCTCCCCAGCACCAAGACTCAGTCATCTACCTTACCCATACTCACAATATCAGAGTGCGTATTGCTCTCCATATTCGCCGTATGATCAACGTAGCTACGGCAGTGGTATATCGTACCCTTTTCCAGTAGAAGGCTCCTTAGAGACATATCCGCATACCACAAGACCATCAATGGTCCTCTCTTCAAACCCTAGCATTAATACTTTGGGCTGGAGGACATAACTCATTTTAGAATATTAGTGATGTTATTTGCTGTACAATGTTTATAGATAAGAGACATTTTAAGGCCTTGTTATTGAACCTACACTCATGTATAACTGGATGCAGCGACATGGTTGCTATTAGACTTGCGACCAGAAACAAATATCAAATGCCATATTAGGTAGTTTTAAGTAACTGTAGGTCGGTAAGGGTTGCGTAATCAGATGTGGAAATATTCATATAAAGTTTCTTGTTAGGTTGCATTCTGATGTAGGTACTTCTGTGCTATGCTGCCTCATGTACAGACAAAATTTACCGTTTTATTGGCTGCATTAATCTCTTCAGAGAATAAGACTTTCTTCACGATCATTAGTCAGTTTGCAACCATGGTTTAAATAGTAGCCTTATAAAGTACGATCAAAAAAAGCTGAATTGAATATTTCAACTTTTATTTAAGTTGATATGAAGCTGTAAATACGTATAAATATATATAAAAATAGCGGGTCAATAAGGTTGTTTTTATTTAAGTGCCTTGGAATGATTTAGAAAAGGACATGGGAGAAACATATTTATTCTGACTGCAACATACTGGTAAAAATGTTTTTACATTCTGATAAAAATGTTTTTACATTCTGGTAAAGATGTAATGAATTAATTAAAGATCTAGCACTGGATAGAAATAATGCTATGATTGCATAAATTTTTGTCTAAATATATAATTTTCATTTGGCAATAAACAAAAAAAAATTCCTAAAAATTTTTTGAATCGTTTCAGATGGTCTCTGAAAGAAAGTGGAGATGAAGAATTATGAGGAAGTAGGCAGCCAAAGCATCCTAAGAATTTCTGACTGTGTTGAACAGAAAATAATTAAAAGGACTTAATTTCCAAAAAAAACTAGCTTGAAGGAAAGAAAGTAAAAAGCATATAAGAAAGGTGTAAATTCCCACAACTGTTAAAAATACTTATTTAGATGAAAATAGAATTACGTTTTCGCCGTTTTTCTTTGGAACACTTGTAGCACAGTTTTAGATTTGCCAAATTGCAAGTCTGGAAGCGATGGAAAGTAAAGTGAGTAGTCAAAGTAGTTTATCCCTAGCATCAACGCATGAGAGATGCATCCACTGTTTCTCACGAATGAAAAGAGAAAGGCTCCAGCTATTTCTTTTCAACAAAAAATACCCGCAAAAAGAAATTCCCCCTGCACCTAGTGCCGTTTCATCCACCTTGAGATAAAAAAGCCAATTCTTTTCCTGTAGTTTATTATTTTCTTTTCACAAAGTCTTTCTTTTACTTGTTCGATATTTTTTCGTACAGGAAAAAACAATTAGTAAGACAAACTCTGTCAGAAAACCACCAGAAAGATTGTGAGGTAGTTTTAATTGTTTGAGCCCTTTTAAACTTAAGCCCACTGACTAGAAACGTGTTGATTTAATTTTAGATGACGTAATTGATGTATCGTGTTGATCAAAGAGCGAGTTCTCTAATCATTCTCTAGATTTCCCTTGATAACTCTCTGATTATGGTGCTGCTTTTTGTTCTGTTTAAGCGTGACCAGATCTATTCTTTAATGGTATGAGGATATCCATCAATCTTATACAGAGGCAAAATTATTGAAGAATGTTGGGGATGCTACAATCTCCAAATTATTGAATAAGTGGGTCTTGAACGACATAGTGACAGGAATAGTTCGGACGCAGCATGTACTAAAAGCAGAATTCTTCCTTGGCTGTTGGTCTAGAAATTTCAGTTTATTTTGTTAAAAGTGCAACATGAGGCTAAGCTTCCAATTTTTTTTATCCTTTCCTATCTCAATTAAAAGAGAATCGAATTAAAAAACTTATCAGGCGTAGCTGGTACAAGGATTTTTATCACTAATTGTTTCCAAGCTAACACTTAATGGTCACAAAAATAGTAGACTTGCTACATCTTAATTTACCTGTACAAGATATCTGTTATTCTTCTCTCTTTATCAAAAGGATCTAATGAACTGTCAGGCAAAATAATAATAATAATAATGATAATAATAAGACCATATTTATACAGGTAAACTTGTTCAGCAAAAATGAGTTTGCTGCTATAAATCAAGGACCTGTGAAACTAATATACCTACGATATAAATGTTACAACAATATAGTTTAAAAAGTTTTTACAATAATTAAATCTAGAGAAAAAGTTAAAAATCAAAGTCGATATCCTTGCAGCAACTTCTGAACTTCAGTATAGATGTTTCACTTTGTAGTTTGCTGGGGACTTTATTAAAAGTTTTTAGACCCTGGATAACAATCACATTGCTTTGCATCTGTATACTATCATGCAAACATACCCAAACAAATTATTTTATACTTGCATCAAACTTTTTCAATACAAAGTATACACAAATCAAATCAGTGCTCTTGAAACGAAAAGAAACTAAAGTAAAAACTAAAAAAACATGTGCTCACTCTATCATCTGTTCTTCCTTTATTGTGGTTTTAGACCTCTAACAAACTAATCAATACGTTCTTTTATCTCCCAATATTTTTGAAAAATAGTTTAATTTTTGGGTCATTGTGCATGCTTTATTGGATAACTTTGTTAAAATTGATATCAATATTTGTATTTTACTGGAAAAAATCGAACATAGCATCTTGTGTACCTGTTTTTGGTCAAAAATAGGGAAAACAAAGCATTATCACTATCGACTGCTAACTGCTTTTTATATCGCGAAAGGGGGTAACTTTCAAGGCCATCAACAGCTATGATAAATCGTTCCTTCTTTACTTAAACTCAAAAGTTTACTTTGATTTTGATTTTGTTTGTCATAATTAGGCAAATACCGATCCGTAGAGAATCAATCCTGATAAGTAACATTGAGTGACCACAGAACAGCTACTTTCAGCGTGATTTTATGCAGAAAAATCTATAAATCTTTGTTTAGCTCTGCTTTCTATGTTCTTTGATCATATCGTTTCGAAACTCAAATAATGGCTCTTATAGAAATCACAACGTGTTTGAATTCAAGTTAGATGCACATAAGAAGCTTAAAGATTTCATGTAGTCCTCAAAATCACTTACTAAACACTTTTTTTATCTTACCTAAAAGAACAGCCAACTGTTGTAAACTCTTAAGGTAAAATTAAGGTGACTTGCACAGACAACATGTTATTTTATAAATTTAGAAATAGCACCTTATTTTTTATTCTCTTTACCTGATACATAGCATGTCAAAATTTCACGCGGCACTGATTGGTCAACTATACCGGTCTTGTGCTTGCGTTTTTCTGATTGGCATATTTCGATCCACAACTGGGTTTATATTTTCCATCTTGTTCTTTCGGAACCCCATTCTGACGTTTTATACTCTTAGCTTTTAGCCAATTTGATAAAAAAAGTTTGCTTTTTTCAAAGCCATTTTCAAGTTCTCTAACGCCAAAAATGATGTTTATAAATTTTGGCAGTCCAAACGTATAGAGCATATTTCAAAGGATAATAATCTTTACATTTGTTGCCAGCCTTTCTTCCCTATCCTGCAAAACCTTTTCATTGAGAAAAGCAGATGGTGAAAACATTTCAAGCGAACATTTTTGCAAGAATGTCATTAATCTGAAAAGAGTGATTTCATTTGTTGATATCTCCAAACAATACTGCTGTTGAGTAAAAGTATTAAAACAATTGCATTTTCATCTAAAACTGGGCTGTGTAAGTAATTGAAACTATTCAGTCACTTTGGCATAATTGCAGATTACAATTTATGCTAAATTATGCATTGCTCATTGCATGCTTGAGATATTTATATAGTACTACCCTTAGATTAATCCCTGTTGTTTTTATCCAGCCTTTTTCTTTATCCTTGAGGATTTTCGACGCCAAAATGACCAGATCCGTGTTGCACGCTTCTTGCTTTTTCAATTTTCATTGTTTTTGGGAACAGTTTTAATCCGAAATTTCAGATTACTGACCATCTTCTGCATTTTGCAAGTATCCAAACGATTTGTTTTGTCTAGGAGTGGAGTAGGCCGGGCCTGCACGAAAACCATGTTAGTTGACATGCAAGCATCCTCACATGTTATATAATTATGATGATTTTCTTTAATCACATCAGAAATAAATCCAAATTCTCTTGCAGCGAAGTGTAATATGAAAGTCTAATAAACTCGAGAAGCTGACTGATCTCAAAGGTAAATAGAAGCCAATGTCCTTCCCAATTCTTTTCTTATAATTAATCAGATTAAACCTGCATAATCAAAGAAAGAAAACAAGACTTCCAAGGCTTCAAGGCTTCGTATCGTTTGATTAAATTCAATATCTATATCTAATTACGAAGCTAAGTTATTACATTTTCGAAAATGATGAAGATCTCTTCTTCAACAAATTATCTATCTTTGGCTCAATGTATTGAGCACTTCAGCAGGAGTAAGGTTAATTAAACACATAATACGCCCAGTAAATTTAAATTTTTAAATTCAAATTAATTCAATCATTTGAAGCGTTTAGATAATCTCTTTTACGTAAGCAATCGCCTAAGAGTTATTAGTTCCTCCATATGCGATTATATGTCACAACAATTATCGCACAAGGGTAGTCTCTATGTTGCCTTTAACATGCATTGGTCAAGATCTAACATGTGTGTATTTCGCAAAGCAATAAAAAGCAAAATTTGCTACACTTGATTCTGCCTTAGTTAGATCTTCGCAGCTTATGTTGGCATTATTTTTCAGTTCGTGATAATTATCTACAACACTTCAAAGACAGCATAAGTGAAAATTCTCAAACAAAGTTGCAAGAAGTTAAGAAGTTTCAATCACAATAAGCAATGATTAGCTTTGCATGTTTTTTATTATTGTTTCCAGTTTGAACCGCCATCAAAATCCTTAACGGAGAACTTCCCAATCAATATTTAAGGTAATTAAAAGTAATCAATATTTAAGCCCTTATCTTGGCATTTAGTATTTTCAGTGTATAACATCGATGCAAGTTCCAAATATAGGGTCCCAGAAGGTAGCATTGGGAGATGATATTCAAGGAAGCACAAGCCAATCACTTCCTTGTGAGTTGTTAAACCAACAACAAAAATGCATAAAATCTGTCAATTGTCACTTCAGTAATATTTTTACTTCAGGATGTTGTGAACCTTTTTGAGCACTTATCAATGTTGCTGAGCACTTACGCATTGATATAAAATTTAATACTCAAAACATTTACAATAAACGAACAAAAGCTATAAATAAGAATGTATGGAATCAATTTTAAAGTCTTTCTTCAATCTTTCGAGTACGAAACTAAAGAACGTTTCAGAGACGCTGCTCGCATGAGCACGGATATCCGCTTCCCAACTGTGTGTTTCGCTGTCTTTCAACCTGGGTATTCTGTACAATTCTTTCACCGCATCCAATATGACACGATAAACATTGCCTGTCAGCTGAGAAAATTGGCCGATAGACAGTGCGTGTGGATGATGTTTGGGGTGGCTGAATGCGTTGGTGTCTTCTCCATTTTGCCCGACGATTTGAAAACCACACCTGAAAAATACAGATAATGTATTTCTTTGAATATTCTTTGATATACACTAGTTTTATAAAAACTGCCAAGTTTGAAACAATGTTTTCTCAGCAAAACCCTAATGACAAAGGAAAGCAGAATAGCCAAGGAGATAAGACATCTCTATGAGAATAACAGAAAGTCGACTTGGCCTGACTAGTAAGTTGACTACAGTGACTCTCTTCTGGCCCACTGAATAGATGTCTATTTTCTTGATAACCCCCGCCTTTTTATTCAAATGGGGCCCAACAGGTGTAAAATAAGACTTGAACCCTTAGGAAAGGATTGAAAACACCTTCATTAAAATTTTAGATAACCGGACTAATCCATTTGATATGCTTAATAGACTCACCTGCACGCGGGCTTCAGACATGCCAATCTTTTCTGCAACGTCTTCTCTTGTGTTGACATCTGGATAGTGGCATTTTCTAAACTCCTCTTCCAGGACATTCAGCTGTTTTGAGGCGAATGTTGTTCGGCTTCTTCTCACCTTCCGCCTTGGATTTACGTGAGGAGGTATTGGAGCTTCGTGTTTACTGCTGCTCGCATCATTTTCATCTGTTGACAGTTCATCTTGATCTTCTTCATTTTGCATTTTTTGCTGCCAAAGACTTTCTGATCTAACGGAGACTGGGCTCTCAATCGTTTTGATAGCTTCAATGTGCTCTGGAGACTTTCTTTCCTCTTTAGGATATTTATGTCTTTCTCCGTTGTCGTTTCTCCAAGGACTATATAAGTTGTAGGCCTCTCTTTTTTTACTTCTTCCTAGAACAATATTAAGCAATTTTTCAATGAAGTCCTTTTCTTTGGCCATAAGAGCTTTCCAATGAGACATAAGAAGAGAACATTATAAGCAGTTTAGATTTATTTTTGCGATGCGAAGGCGATGTAATTTATTATAAAATTTAGTTATTGTTTGACATACCGTTATAATCTGGAACTTCTTTATCCACATTTTGCCTTAACTGTTCTTCCTTCATTTGGTTGTCGAAATGATCTTCTTGTGTTGAATGCAATCCAATACTCCCAGTCGAAGATACATGATGTTCTTGAGCTGAAGAATAGTTTCTAGAATTATTATTTGGGGAAACTGCTACTTGAAAGTGATTTCCACAAAATTTTGAGCAGCAAGGTCGGCCATTTGGAGATGACATATATCTATTTTCATAGTGACTTCGTAGCAACAAATCTTGCTCATGCTCCAACAACGCACGTCTCACGGACCGTTCAGTTGCAGTTTTACGAAGAATTCGGTTAATAGAGCTGACACTAGGACAATTATCTGCACTACAGACGCCATCTTTGATTAGTTTTTCTCTGATCTCCCAGGCAAAAATTGTAGAATTTTGCATTTTGTATTCTTCAATCTTCAAAGTGACTTCCGGCGTAGCTACCTTTGGCTTGCTTCCGCCTATTGCTCCAGAGTATACATTCCCAGCATCAAAATAACGGCCTATAGATGCAAATATCACTTTTTAGACAAAAATAGCCAGAAAAAATATATTTTACTACATATTAAACTTATTTGATATTAGTGTTTAAGTTGTTTACTAACGTCCTCAAAACAAAAAATTACGTTCAGTTTTTCAACTAAGATAAACTAAAATCAACGCAATCTGAACTTCAATCAAGTTTGCAGCGAATCTTTTAGCATAATTATATGTACAACTGAGCTTAAGTGAAAAATTACTAAAACCATAAAGCTTTCAATATCAGAACAATTTGTTTATATTCTAGCTAGACTTTTATATATGCGTAATTTCCACATCGAAAAAAGATTTGCCAAATTTGATTTTGTACCAGTGATCTAAGCTATCTGCATTTTGGACATGAAAATAACAGGTTGACCTAGTTTTTTAGAGGAAGTTATTATCATCAAATTTAAGATTTATTTTAACTGATGATCTTAAGTCGCTATATTTAAGTCTTTCTTGTTAATTGTCTGTTATTTTTTTTAGATTAGCACGTATGCGTATGATTGCAAACTTTTGAAACCTTCCTTGAAAATGATTTTAACTTGGACATGTTATGTTAGAAAGCTTGACTTTAATTCTTGTGGTTTATTCATAAAGGTTGTAGTCACAAGAACACTACATTCATTCATATTGCATCGCGAAACGTTTGTAATAAAGGAATAAGCACAGCTATATGTCACAAGTGCGCACGTGCAGGAAATACGATTTAACCTTATCAAGCAACGCTCCAACCAGCTTACTGACCACCCTTATTTTCTTTTCTACTCGTCGTTTTTTATGCATAATTGATAGACATTTAGAAAATAAGCGCGCGATACCTCTGTAAGTGACCTTTAAATATTTTTTTGAATTTGAATTCAAAATTTGAATTAGCTCCTTTCTGGTCCCTTGCAAATTAATTCACTTAGCTTACATCCTTCATGACTGAATCACGAAAGGAAATAGTCGTCGTTATAATTTAACAGGAATTTTGGATGGTTTCTTGCACATGAAAAACATGAAATAGGAAGTCATCTTTTAATCAAGAGAAGAAAATTTATGAAATGACACGTGGGTATTTTAGCCGGCTTAACACGTCAAAGACTTTTTAAGAACTGCAGAAAAAAATTCAGGCAATAGAAAAAGGGGAAATTTTCACTCTCGGAGTTTCTACTTGAAATAAGTTATTTACAAAAGTTCTAATTTTATTTTCTAACAGATCGCCAGAAAAAAGCTTCCATATTGAAACTGCATGGCTTAAGCTACTTGGGACAAAATATACTCAGCTCTTTCAAAACATCTAGTTAATATAGTTAAAATTTGGGGGCAGCCTACCGAGTATTTTGCTGACACTCCCTTGAGATACTAGCATCTGTCTTGAGATTTCACATGACCTGTACCCACGAAGCGCCATTTCCACAATATTCTGTCGTACTGCTTCGGTCAATGGTCTACCGCTAAAATAGGCACCGCTATACCGACTGTAAGGTGTCGGGTTGCTTCTGTAATAATCTGTAAGATAAAAGACCCTTAAAGTAAACATTTGGGACGATAAATGAAAGCTTCAAAAGTCAATATTATCGCTGAAATGTTTTGCATCACTGATTTTTCAACTTTAATGAAAGTTACAATTTGAGTTAAATGATTCTCGTTGTCAGTTTTCAGTCTTTGCAGTTTCCCATTTTGTTAATGTATGGTTAAGTATTCGCAAAAATTTTCTAAGGTTGCTTTTAAGAGATGCCTAGAATGTAAATTTTAATGGCATTTTTGACTACAATTTGATGCCTGTATCTAGAGCAATTTTAGCCGAAACGATAAAAGAAATTCAAGTATGGTATTAGCTGTGCAAATGAAGGTATGTTTAAAAGAAACCGTTTCAATTGGTTCTTTGAAAGAAAATTTATGTAAATAACTCAAAAGACATTGCTTTTCTGGTCACCGAAAATATTCTTATTTCAACACTACAATTTAATTAGCTGAACTGATATTTTCAAGAAATATGGTTGTATAGTTTATAAGTGCGATCACTAAGCAAACATACCAAGTATGAAATCGGTTGCTGCTTCATATCAAAATTGAGCGAGAGGTTCCCAGCTATATCAACAACTTAGCAATATATTTTCAATCATAAAAGAAATCCTTTAAATTTTGATAAATGCGGGCTCTTATCAAATTTAATTGGTAGGAGGGATTGATGGCATATGAAGTTCACTTTGATAGCTTACGTACTTTTGTGAAAGCCACTATAATTCTTTAATGAAAACGTTATTGAAAACCAATCCTGCCAAAAGACTTGTTACACTACATTAGTATCCAGGAATTCTTCGCTATTACTTGTAAAAAATTTTCTAAAAGCAAATGGTATTGGCCAGCACGAAGCATATGTCAACTCGAAGCAAAAGTAGAGAGAGAAATTATGAGAATTAGTTGACCAAGAAAATTTGGTCGATAATTCTTAGGACAGGAAAGTACCCACGGGCTCGCAATCATCTTGTGTATACGGACAAAATAACATTACAGATTTATATTCCAGTACATTTTAACAGTGATTCGCTCTTCTCGTATGAACTAGAAGAATGAGATTTGTTTAGGCTGATATTTGTGTAAATCTTGACTGTCCTACCAATCTCTGAAAACATTAGAGATGAATTGATAGCCGGGAGAAACAATTGCTCTTTGTTCATCAGTCAAAAGCAAACTGTTTTATACTGTTTTTATAACAGCAAACTGTTGTTTAAATTCAAACAGAAATTAAACTTTTCTCTTAAAGTTTAGCACTCCCACTTCTCTGCCTGCAGTTTACTGCAATTGCAATTGATGCTAACAGTTTACAGACTAAAAAGAAAAGTAGAATTGTTTTAGTTGCCGATAACCTTTGACTTTCTCAAGCACCACGCATGACAATCTTGAAAATGGTTTTAAAAGGGATTCGCCTTTTTTGTGTTTTTACGCAAATAACCTGTCAAACGTCCTGATATACTGCATAGAAATTGGGATTTTCAGTAGCAATCTCTTCACCCTGCTTTTAAGAATAATCATTAGCAAAAATTTTGGAAATGAACATGTGATAATTTCAGATAGTTTAAGACGTGGAATTTTGACCAAGAACGTTTGAGGGACTAGGACTGAGGGACACAATTTTTGTATTTTGCGGCTGGAAGCAAAAGCATATTTTCCTGGTGAAATTTTTTCATTACTTTGTCTTTAGTTGCCATGCTAATATCTTGACCAAGAGTGTATGATGTAGGAGCAACATCGTGAAACACTAAAGTCGGGTTATGAGTGAACCACGACAGTTTTGGGAGACTTAGCTCATTTGGCTTTTGTTAAGCCCTAGCTTCAATAGTCGCTCATTCTCACCATTGCTGAATCGATTGTCCAAACGGTCTTAGTCAAAAATTATCAAGACAAGGCAATGTACACCTTAACCTTTAAAAATCGAGCGAATCTGTAGACCGCAAAGGCCGCATTGCATCTTTTTTAGCCCAGCGACTTCCATATTACATCGCATCTAAGATTATCAATAAATCGTCATCCAGTTATTTGATGTATTTAGCGCGATCAAACTGCAACCAATATCAAAAGCACCGCCTTCCCGTATAAAGCAACTGCAAACAAACTTTCGGCCTGATTCCTTTTTATTTTATGAAGTGAAGTTGCAGCTGACAAAATGTTCACGGTTAAAGGATGTTTAGAAAGTGAAGAAGGCTTTCAATAAGACATTTTAATTAATAAAAACGCCTTTGATCTTATAAAATGCTAGATACCTTGGTTTAGCTTTCGATTTAACTAACAAAAATTAATAATTGTTTATAAAAATTCTCTTCATGACTTTTACAACTTACTTTATGATTTGATTTCTTTTAGCGTACCTTCCACATCATGTCTACACGTAAAAACGTGATACAAACAAATTGATCACACAGTGTCAATGTATTTTAAAGACTTATTTATCTGGCGATAATTCAACTAATTTGCAATGCCCAAGCATAAGTTACTGTCGTTTTGAGCTTTACTCATTGTAAAGAAAAGTTTTTTGAATGCAATACAACCAAGCTGAAATATTTCGCAATAAACTCCCGGTAACTCGAAACCACAATTACTCAAACATTAGCTAAGTTAAACTGGCATTGCATTCCTTTTGCCCAATACTTACATATAAAAAGGTTACCGATAACTCGAACATTTTTTCTCTCGAACCATTTTATGGTTCTTTGGAAATTCGAGTTATCGGCAGCGCACTGTATCAAATCATTGTTTGTTGCCAAAATTGTAGAATTCGGCAGGAAAAATAAAATGTAAGCTATAGAAAATGATCGAAAAGCAGAATCAGGCTTGATGGCATTTTGACACTGTTAGTTAAATTTCCTATTTAAAATATTGAAAAAATCCAATCCGAAAATTTGAAGGTCTTAAAATCATATCAAATACTATTTGAGAGGAGAGGAAAATGTCATGTATAAATACAAAAAATATAGTTTAGTGTGACAAACGTTTGTAAGACAATTTTTGAGCTGGATTCGCAAAATTGAATGATTGGAAAGGGAAGCTGTTCTCAAAAAAGTAGAAGACATCGCACCAAAACTGCAAAATGTTTGACATTTTATAGAATCTTGTTCCTGGTTTTTATGTATAGAAGTTAGATTTGCTTGTGACATCATCATAGGTCTTACAGCCTTTGACATGAAGAAGAAGCTAAAAATATTTAGCCGTTGCGTTATCGGTCTTGGAAACGGCTTTCTCTCAGTGCGGCTGAATAAACAATCAGCTAGGCCATTGGCTGAGTAGCGGGTAGTACATTTCATTAATTGTTTGATCAAGAGCATTTGTAATTTCATTAAGCTTACAAAATATGAAAAAGATTAAGACTCTTTGACAAATAATTTGATTATTTTAAGTAGTTACTACAAGTGCCCTTTCATAAGTAGACTTTCTCTGGCTGACATTGTTTTTGCTAGATCAGAACCAGACCGGTCCGCTAGGCCCGGTGAGAAGCCGCTTCAATGAGAAATACTGAAAAGCCTACAAAAGCATTGAGCTTTAGGCATTTCTGAGCCATGGAAATGTCCAAAAAGATACTTTTACGACATCCTTGTTAATGTAATCAAGAAATAATTTCAATGTTATAGAAAATATGTTGTAATACTAATTATAGAATTCTTTAAAGGCCTTCTGCAAGCGAATGACATTTGCAATTTCATAAAGTTTGTGTTACCGATTTGCAAACTGCAAACATAATTTCTGTGTCATCAAAGTGAAGACTTTAAAGGCAGCTTTATAAGAATTTTATTGTTTTCTTTTGTAATTCAATCACAATCAAGAATGCATCCATTGACACTGAAAACAGATTGCTATCCTTTGACATAAGTGCTTTGATTGGGAAGATGCTTTTATTGGTAAAATTAATACATCATTCACGTGAATTGATAATATTCAATTCAATAAAATGCGATTCCTTGGAAATTTACAATGAAATATAGCTGTCATATTAGGCTTCACAAACCAAATTGTTTAAGCGGCGTGTCTATGCCAAGTCTGCGAAATTATACATTGTATCATCAAAATAACCTTTTTCCAATTAGAAAAGAGTTTTCAATCTTTTTTATTCAGTTATCTAGCGTAACAGTTGAACTCTGTAGAAGTTATTTATTTTTCATACCTCATTGAAAGTAAGCTATTTTGGAGGCTTGAGAAGAGAACTTTTCATCTAACTGAAAAGGTAAAGAAAGCTGTCTTCTAACTTTTATATTTCAAGGCAGATGCTTATTTCAATCATGGTTAGAAAACTGTGCCTCCATCACAGCTATTAGATCATCGAGATAAAATAAATGGAATTTTCTTTGATAATCACTTAAGCTTTAACAGTAGTATCGCCGAGCGATGATAAAGAAATTATAATAAAGAAAAGGAAACTTTAAAGGTCAAGGAAAGAGCGAGTTTTGAATTATGTTTAAATGTCAGTCTAATAAAAGGTGAGAAACAAGTTGCTAACTCAATATATCATTTACTGCAGAAGCTCATTGAAGATTTATCTTCATGAAATCAATGATTTCTTTCGGAATTGACTCGTGGTTATGCATAACCAAGAATATAAGTTTCTATTGAAGAAACAGGCTGATTATTCACAAACCAGAAAATGAAGCAAAATATTCATGTGAATGTTCGTCTGGTTATCATTTTGATCAAAGAGCACTAACAGTTAAGTGCTTTGTTTCTTTCTTGCAGCGTTGAATCATGAAATTACTGCATCAAAACCCCCAAGTACAGAGACGACACAATACCGTACAACTTACAAGCAACTTATTCCTGGATATCCTTTCAACTTGTCAAAGCTTTGTATATTTAACCTCCGGAGAGCAGTAACTTGCAAGAGCGGGCAACTACTCGAGAAACCATAGGCGTAGGCAATATAACGATTTTACAATATGCAGAATCATTTGGTATAAGCGAAACTTGGCCTGGTTTTCAGCAGATTCTTTTTCAAAACTCATCGAATGAAACGAATCAAATAAATTAAATAATTAAATAAATACTGTATCTTACTTTTAAGTTTAAAAAGTTACTAATTCCCAAGTTCAATGATTCTATACAGAAATGAAATTATTTTTGCAGCTTTATTGACATAAGAGTAAAAAGCTAAATTGGCTGTAATGGCGTGTTAATTTTTTGATATTTTTCCCCAGGTGCAGAAAATTTTCAAACGGAAATCTGATGTGAAATTTATCGCACAAAAAAGCGGAACAACTTTTAAGACGTTTTGCAGACAAACTCAATGAAAAATTATGCGAAGATACTTAAAAGATGAAGCCAACTTAAAAGATTTACACAAGATCAAAAATTTGACTTGAAATAAAAGCAAATAATTGAAAATCACTTGTCTTTTTAAACAAACATTTTTAAGAAACGCATATTTTTTTCTTATCATGATTCTCTTTTTAGAGAACTATAAATAAAAAGGTATTTTGCTAAGTTTCCTTTTCTTTATTATACGCTACTAAATCCTCGAGAATCATAGAATGGTAGAGTGACTGGTGACTATTATGATCTTCTCTTTGATAATACACAAAACAAAGGCGCAGTTATCGAAATGGTTTGTGATATCAGGTTGGTTTAGTATTTTATATGTGGTAGTTGCTCTAAAGAAGCCGCTAATTAACTGTTATCAAGAGTTATGACAGGGTAAAAATGACAGTAAATTTTATTAGAAAAAGAATGATCATACCATAGCTAGACATGACTGCTTTGACGTGCTCTGCACCCTTCTTGATCTTCTCTTTGCTCTGTGAAAAAGAATAAAGGCAATCGATATTTATATATGATGACGGCGGATCAATATCAGGATCTTTAACGAAAAGCGGCTATTGCATAGTCTTCACACTCACCAACTTTGATTTGAATTCTTTATCCGATTTCAAGTGCTCCTGACAACCAATCAAATAACTGATCAGCATATTGGCATTGCCACTAAATTTATGTGGTTGCTAACTCCTTTGTATTAGCAATCTTTTACGTTGGATTAAAGAAATTATATCATCAAAATGGCAACCATCTGACGTTTTCCCGTCTTACTCCGAATTGTTATCCTTTTGTTTCTATTTGATTTGAATAGATAACCACCCTGAAGATGTAAGCAGTGAACAAGGGTGCCCATGTTTAAAGCAGTTGTATGATGTCCCTGCTATTTCCACCCTCGCCGTTTTGTTGGGAGAATTTTGCCATGTCTCCATATGTTGTTTGCCTTTTAAAGCTTTTGTCTATGAATAAGACAATAAGTAAGTGGACAAACGAAAGTGCTTACTTTCCTAAGGCTCACACTGCTCGAATAATTTGTTCATATAATTGTGTCCAAGCTCTCTTTACAAAGCAAACTGCACAGGCTGTTTAAATCATTACCACTCGTGTAAAAGATCGAAATTTCTTCCTCGTGATAGTTTGTAAGAAAAACAAACTTTCCCGCTATCAATTGCTTAATTGGACATTTTATTAAAATTTCCTAAGACCACTTCTTGGACTTTGATCTCATGACCATGCGCTGAAGGGGCGTGGCCTTTGTTCCATAGACTGCCATCGTAACAACCTATTCGCACCTTTCCTTTGAAATAATCTGGGATATTTCACAAGATTTTGCTGTTGATATATGTTCATGGGAAATTTACCCTAATTCACCGCTTTCATGATATTAATAAGACTTTACGAGCATTTTCAATATAAATGCTGTGATTTCTTATTGTTCCATCATTTCTGATCAATGATTTTTGACAACCTGTTTAGTTTTATTGCGTTAAAATTTTTTCTTTGGAAATTTAATTGAAAGCAATAGCTTGGTTATAGCTTGTAGCTTGTGTAAAAGGAAAGCATCTAGTGCAATCAGAAAATATTCTCTGCCTAGTGCAAAATGAATAAAATTCTCCGTAAGGAAAAAATATAATTCTAAAATAAGCATGACTAGCTACATTACAAAGCAAGTTTCATCAAATTTGGTCAGATCAAGTTTATTACATTAAAGCATTATTAATGCCTTAAATTCAAAAGAGAACTTAACCTTGCACTTTGATCTTTAATGATGAAAATAAATTCTGAGGAACATATGGTGTTCTTTTTCATTAGTTTTTTGCTGCTAAACTGGTGTTATTTTACACCAAACTTGGCAAAACTTTAGAAGATTTTCTAAACAACGAATATGTAAGAAAGTTCAAACATTTTGTTCATTAGGTGGACATGAATTAGTAAAAAAACGGCTTTCAAAAATATTCTGCTGACGTAAATTTCAAAAAAGATCAAATAGGCTTTTTAATTTTGAAGATGCTTCCTAAAGATCATGTTTTGATTATTCAAAAGGAACGAAACCATCTAAAGAAATATGTTTTTGTTTCTGGTCTGTTTCACGTGTCGCTTCCCACAAGGCCTATCATAGAAAGCATTGTGAGCTAATAAATGCTTACTTATAAATGTGTAGCCCTTTTTGTAAAGTAGACTTTTCTTGTTAAGTGATTTCAAGTTATATAGAACACATATCATTAAGTTGATATGAAACTATACAACTCGAAACCATAATATGGTATTGTCAGGACTGCCGGACGCAGGTTTGAACAGGGGGAGGGGCAAAACGAATAAAAAGGGCACAAACCTTTTTCCAAATAATTATTCTGTGTCAAAAATGGCACAGCTTTCATGGTAATTGATAAACGGTAATTTAGACATTTATAAAAGGAAAACACAGATTGCGTATAGTAAGAGCTATCTTCCCTGAACGCAGACATGGCTATGTGCTCGATTTAGGGACCACGGACTCTTGATCATACTTGACTGTATAACTCCTCATCTCATTTATATTTCTATTTCAATATGTTGTACTTAATTTTCTTATAATTTGGTCAAGTGACAGGCACTCATCCTTCCCCTATACTTGTGGCAGGTGCAATATACTCAAGGAATGTTTAGATTTATTGCAACATACCAATGAATCCACATTGATGCAATCATACATACGAAATTAATAAAAACTTAAAAAATTTAAACCCAAATTATGATGTAAGAAGCTGAAAGGAATTTTCGAATTTTTACTCTCTGTCTACGTCAAAGCGAATGCCAGTCCCTATCTTTTTCAAAGTTTCAGTCTCGATGATTATCTAAAGCCTATTCGAATAATGATTTCAATTTCATATTTTCAAATTTAAGCAATTTAGTCCCCCCCCATCCCTACGCCACTTGAAACACATAATTTTTTTCCCTTCCATGAAATATTTCTTAAAAGCTACAAAATTTCAAGTTCAAGTCACCTTCGTGCAATCGGCCGAAGATGCAGGCACGTTCTTCACTGCAATAGTAAAATTAATTTGCAACGTTGATTAGGGTTGTCTCAATAGTGTTTTCTTTGTGTATCGAAAGAATCATGCAGTGGTTAAGTCGTCTTTGGGACATTTTTTAACTCTCCTTAGACCTTGTTGCTAAAGACATACTAAGGACATTTTTCTCGCCCAGATCTCCTCGGCAGTCTCCTTGCCAGTTGATATTGTTCATCACAGGAGCTTGTGCCTTTTGCATCGTGTCCATCTGCATCATGAAATATATTTGCATCAAGAACTTAAGGAAATGTCAGTGAATAGTTTTCCAACAATGCTTAGATTTAGATTTTTTTGCTAAACTCCTAAAGGCAGAATATCTGGCAGTGAAAATATACGCGCAATATACTTTCACAAAGAGGCACTTTTTCAACTTTTTGCAATCAGGGGGGGGGGCCTGTGCCCCCGTGGCCCCCTTGGCTCCGGCGGCCCTGATTATAAAGGTAATATGGATTGCCACTGCCGTTTTTACTTAGAAACTAACTCATTGTAATCCTTGAAAGCGATGTTGTATCAAAAACACCAGCTTAGTTTCCAATCTGTCATTTTACTGCTCAAAGTAAAACAGCTGTAGATCATTAATGATCGTACGTCGCACGTTTTTATGACAGGCGATTCAATTTGAGAAAAATTACCCGTAATTAGACTCACATTTAAGGAAACAGTTTTTGTTGTGATTCATGCTTTCTCTGAAACGGGTTTTTGATAATTTGATACCCTGGGGAAATATTCAGGGAAATCACTTGTGCTGATAGTTTGCCAGATTGTACAGCTCAAAATTCGCTTAGCTAGTCAAATCAGCTGAAGGAAAATGTCAGCTCTATTATGGCTTGACTATTAAAGACCTTGAAGGTCATTGTACTTAGATCTAACGAGCTGGGAAGAAATATCTCAAGTTTGTCTTTTGTAGAAGTTATATAGAATAGCGAAACGTGTTTGATTAACCACATTAACATATTAACCTAATTTTTTGACAAAATTCTCCAGTAGCACACGGTATCCAATATTGGGCGGAAAGAGGTTTTTGTCTGAAATGATTGATGCTTTATTTGCAAAATTTACAGTGTCTACATGACATTGTCTGTGACGAGGTCTTTTGTTCTGTTTAAAATGAATTTCAGAGAAATTTTGAAAAATTACTCTTTGTACCATTTGCTTCCATCTTTTCAATCAAAAAGAAATAATGGCTTTTTCACGATACCATTCATGCATTAATCTTCCCCATTATCAAAATAAGCTATTTTGATACAAATGTCATAAGCATTTCATATTTATTTGTTCGCACTTCATTCAAAATCCCCAGCTCTGTTCTGTATTACGTTCTGCTTTGACTTTTTTCATGCTTTTCCTTTGGTGGTTCTTGACGCATAAATATACCCAGATCTACAGAATCTTCTAGTTATATTTTGCAATCTATGTCTTTCCCATTGCAAACTTTTGTATCAATTCCTTTCTGACATTCTTTTGATAGACAAATTCAATTCTTCTTTCCTCACAAGGTCAGTGCAGGTTACTTTTAAAATGCTTTTTACATTTAGTGTTTTCCGACACATTTTTTTATAATACTGTGTCTCACTTGCAAATCCTGCTACAGGAGAGCGAGAGCACTTGATTTTAACTTGATTTTTGTTTATTTGTTGTGGGCATTTTGTCATCTTATCTTAATTCAAATTCATTCTTTCTTTCTCTTGGATTCCGCTTTCCCTTAGTGTTCATATCCGATATGCTGTCTCTTTCCTTCCTTTCATTATCTACAAAATATCTTTGTTTCTTTACTCGTTTTAATACTGACTCTCTAAATATAATAAGCACTTTCTTCGCTTATCTGACAGCCATTATAACCATATGTCAATTATAACTAAAAGTTATCTGACGGTTAAACTCCGAAGAGTGTCGAGCGAAACGCTTTTCAGTATGCAATGTTTCCGCTGTTTCGTGTCATCTTCACATCTTTCGGTACCAAAACTTACTTGGTTATCCATAGTCTCTTGCACTTTAACAAAGATTTTACAACCTTCCTCAAATCGTTGTCACTGTTCAAGACTAAAGCTGTATGATCTGTTTTTTTCACATCTTTTAAAACACTAATACCGATACATGTTATCGCTGAAATATTTGTCGCTGATTCGTTTTGTCGCTATTTATCGCTGAATGGTGATTCGTAGATGTTGGTGAAGGCATTTATCCTTGGCGTATACCCGCTCATTCAACAGCTATTCATAAAGTTCATGAGCATTTGATGATTGACACTTTTAAATAAGCATATTGATGCTATTAATTTTTTTCCAGTCATTCTCTGCAAATAAACAGCATTCATAGTTGGTATTTACTTTTCAAAGCTCAATCAAGTCTTAGTAACAAAAAATTTGATAGGTGAATATTGTCAATTTTTACAATATCTTGAGAATGATCATAAATGATTCCGTTGTCAAAGAGATTTTTCGCTAGTCACACCGTGAACCTAAATGTTTCGTGAGGGATTTAGAACAGTGTCAAAAGCTATTATCAAGCTCCTCTACTATTTACTCCAATCGTTTGGGCTTTCAACCCTTTTCATTTCAGTAATTTTGAGCAATTTTAATTTTCTAAGTTATGCTTGATATTCTACCTGCAAGCTTTCGCAGGTATCAACTTGATGGTATTAGTTTTACGATTGAATTTCTTCTTCAATCTCAAATTGTACTTCCTTGGCTTTTATTGGCATCACATTTCACAATGTTTATAGTTTCATACAACATTGGTTTGTGTTAGTTAGCTATTCCTTCACATGTTCTGAAATTTCTATGCTTAAACTCTTTCAAATCCTTACGAATGACTCGAATTTCTTTCAGATCTAGATGCTGGATGTCGCATT